ATTTCTATGTGCTTGTATTGCAATAAAACGGACTGTCATTTTCCCGCACAACCAAAATAGCAACAAACGAACGGGGGAAAGGCGCGCGCCACCTGCATCTTACGGGCGATCCCGCTGGACGCCCGTGAGCGCGAAAACCGCGAAGAGACCCGGACCGACGAAAAGCGCGAGAGACCCCTAAAACTTGCAAGATCTTGCAGTGCCCACCCAATCGGCCAGGGCAGACGAAGGCGCCCGTGCGGGGCGCGCGCATCATCACAGCGACAACAAAAAACACGCCATGTCCTGAAGCTCGCAGAACGCATCATGGAGCGATGGCGCACGCACAGATCCGCAGTCGAATCGGGTTGAAGCTCGCACGGGCTGCGCTAGAGCAGACCGGCGCGCCCGACACTCAAACGCGCCGAAGCTCTAGCTACTCGCGCACGCAGAAAAGCTGCTCGCTCAATGAAAAAAGCCACGCTCGCAGGAAAGCTGCTCGCCCACAGGGCACGGCTACATTTCGGCTTTTCTTGGACGGAATTATGCGAAGGGGGGGGTCAGTTTAAGCCGCGGCTTCCTCAGTTTCGTGGCTTAAGTACGGGCTCCAGCGACGGCCCCAATGGCAGCGCCCACATGCGCCCGCGCCACCCAATCTGGTACACCCCTCACACGCTTCGTGGCCCCATTGGGAGCTCCACCGCAGGCCCCAGGGACGGTGCCGACATGCGTCCACGCCACTCATAAAAACCGCATGTTACCTTCAGATTCCAATCGGTCACCATGAAGGGCAAACTTTAGTTTCCAAGCCAACATGGCGATCTCTCGGTTGTGGAAATGGCGCCAGGCCACTGTAACAACCCAGCGACATCGCATGTTAACTTCTGAACCCAATCGTTTACCATAAAGGGTTCATTTTAGTTTCCATGCCAACATGGCGGCTCTCGGTTGTGGAAATGGCGCCAGGCCGTTGTGAACATTCAACGACATCGTGTGTTAACTTCAGAATGCGATCTGCCACAATTAAGGGTTAACTTAAGTTCCCAAGCCAGCATGGCGACTTCTCGGTTGTGGAGATGGCGCCAGGCCATTGTGAAAATGCAACGACATCGTACGTCAACTTCAGAACCCAACCGTTCACCATAAAGGTTTCATGTGTGTCCCCAGGCCAACGTGACGAATTCTCGGCTGTGGAATCGGTGCGAGGCCATGGTGTTTATCAAATGAACTTGTAGGTCCACGTCAGAATCCAATCGGTCACCATTAAGGCTTCAATTTAGGTCCCAGGCCAGAATGGCGACTTCACGGCTGTGGGAAATGGCGCCAGGTCATTGGGAACATCAAGTGAAATCGTATGTTATTTTGAGAATCCAATCGGTCACCATCAAGGGTTCACTTTAGTTCCCAGGCCAACATGGCGACTTCTCGGTTGTGGAACTGGCGCCAGGACATGTCGAAAACCATCGGAATTCGTATGTGAACTTCAGAACCCACTCGGTCACCATTAAATAATCATTGTAATTCCCATGCAAACATGGCGAGTTCTTGGTTGTGGGCCGACCCGCAGCACATTTTCGACCGTTCCGCGGCGTATACCTTTGGAGCACGATTGGAACGGCCCTCTTCATGACAGGTATTCTTCGACTCCGTCGTGCGCTAAGCCAGCGACGGGTTCCACGTTGGGCCAAGAAGCTGGAACGCATGCTGGCACCTGACTACAGAGTCGCTCTACAGAATTGGAATGACCCTCTCATTCCGCCCCTACTCCAATGTTTTCTTGGACAACCTGATGGACCGACCAAGGCCGTTGTCTACGCCATGGGCAGCCACTCGGACCTCTACGTGGGCAAGGCCACGCTCTGGACAGGACCGTTACCAGGCCTCCTGGGAAGGGTTGCAGAGCACGCGCGCGCTGTTCTTCACCCACGCAACGGTCCAGGACGACGGCCAAGATACCGGCTGCTACGTAAGAGTGTTGGTTCATTGTATTTCTTGCCAATTCTATTGGTGCAGTCTGAGAAGGCAAGTTTTCACTATGAGTCTCTCGCTATCAGAAGATACGCGCCATCATGTAACATGGCCGACTCACGCGAGTCAGAAGCGGTAAGCCGCCGCAGAGCCCAAGGAGAACTACATGCCATGCAGAGGACTCGGCTTGTGACGCAACGCGCCCCACACAGAGGGGTTTATGTTAAAACCCTGGAATTATGAAATGATTATGAAAAAAATATGGTTTACTTAGAACAGCCAAAATATGTTCTGAATATGGTTTTGAAACCTAAAAATTACGGAGGTCACTCTGCCCAGCCCGAGACATACCTCGGGCGAACTCCTCACCGAACATTGGCTTTCAACAAGTGCACCACAGTGCCTGCGACGCTGCAGCGCTGCGCAACATGAAAAATCCTGTTCCTGATTCTGCTGCTGCCCCCCCCTCCCCCGCCGTGTTTTTTTGTTCCCTCGCCTTGTCGCCCCCCCTCCTCCAGTGGCCGCGCCGCTAGCTTTAGGGCGTGGCGGGGCGGGGGGGGGCGGAGGGGGCGGGGAGGGGGAGGGGGGGAAGCAGAGGAGGAAGGAGGGGAGGAGAGAGAGAGAGAAGGCGAGGCCCGAGGGAGAAGAGCAGCAGCAGCAGGAGCAAGGAGCAGGTCAAGGGCACTAGCAGCAGCAAGAGGGGAGGGGAGGGAAATCCCACCTCGCTCGGGCAGAGTTCGGTGCTCCCGAGCACCCGACAACGTCAGTCGAAAACGTGCTGAGCCTCGCATTCTTAGTCGCCCTCCTCGTCCTCCTCCTCCTCATCCTTGTCCTCCTCCTCCTCATCCTCCTCCTCCTCCTCCTTCTTGTCCTCCTCCTCCTCCTCTTCCCTCCTCCTCCTCCTCCTGCCCCCTCCTCCTCATCCTCATCCGTTTCCTCCCTTCTCCTCCTCCCCCCTCCTCCTCCAAGTCGCCCTCGCGGCGCTGTCGGGCAGCGCCGGCGCAGGGCTCAAGCCTACGGCGCGGGCAGCTCGCCGTGTTCGCGGGCGTGCTCCGCGACCTGGCGGATGGCGTCGTGCACCACGCCCGCGGGCTGCAGGCCAGCCTTGTCCTTGAGCTTCTTGAACTCAGCATTGACGACGCGCCTGACCTTGACATTGCTCTTCGTGGTCTCTGCATCCTCCAGGCGGTGCAGCAGGGAGCCCTCGACCATGTGGATGATCGAAACCATCTGAGTGTACGTGTACTTTGACAGCAACTCCTCTGGCACAGCAGTGTCGTGGAAAGCGTAGTCCTTAATCATGGCGTCGATGGCCGCCTCGAAATTTTCTGCTTCATGCTCGAACCGTGCCCCGTCTATAATGAAGAGGCGCTCGTCCGCGTGGCCCTGGAGGTCCTTCCAGGAGCTCTTCTCGGCCACGCCCCTGCGCCAGGGCACGTCTGCAAGATTATCTGGGACGCCCATCATGCCAGTGATCGTGGTGTACTGTTTCATGGCACGATTCATGGAATCATTGTTGTCGAACTCCTTCTGGGCGCTGATCAGCTCCAGGGCGTCGTCGATCGTCGCCTGCGTCTTCTTCTGGACGTTCTCGATCGCAGGACTGAGCTTCTGAACACAGGCGACGGCGTTCTTCAAACCTGTCAGCAACGTCCGCTGATTGTGTGGCTTCGAACGGATGGCAGGCGTCTCTCCGCTGTCGGCGAATGCGCGCTGGGCGGAGATCGCCTTCGAGATGGCGCCGAGAGCTTTGACTGTCTCGTCGAGCTTCTCGACCGTGCAGTTCCATGTGATGACGGTGGCCCACGCGCGCTCAGCCGTCGAGCATACCTCCGCGAAGGCGGATGTGTCATCTATGGCAGTCACGTGGTCCATGGCCGCCTTGAGAATCTCACCTAATTCATCGTTGAACTCGTCCGTGACCCGCGCCTGGCACTGGAAAAAAAAAAAAAAACCTAATCCTCCTCTCCCTCCTCCTCGTCCCCCCCTCCCCCTCATCCCCCCATCCTCCTCCTCCGGCGAGGAGGAGGAGGACGGCGGGTGCGGGAAGGGTTGGTTAAACTGTGATGGGGGAGGGGATGGTTCTTGATGAGAGAGAGTGTGTGTAGCGTATGAGGTAGTAGTAGAATTAGTAGTAGTGGTAGTAGCAGTAGTAGTAGCAGTCGTAGTAGCAGCAGTTGTGGTAGTAGTAGCAGTCGTAGTAGTAGTAGTAGTAGTAGTAGTAGTAGTAGTAGTAGTAGTAGCAGTAGTAGTAGTAGTAGTCGCAGTAGTCGTAGTAGTAGCAGTAGTAGTAGTAATAGTACTAGTACTAGTAGGTTGTATCAGAGAGCTGGGGAATAGTAGAAAGAAGGGACGCTGCTTTAGCAGCTCTGGAACCTCTGAAACAAAAACTGTTGTGGGACGCAAGTATGGGAAGGAGGTGCAGGAGAGACGCGATGCCCAGAAACCATAGCATAGCAGAGCGTAGCAGAGCAACACATAGCATGGCATAGCACAGCGTAACATAGCACATCATGGCACTGCATAACATATCATTGCCTAACGTAGCATACCATAAACTAGCAGAACATCGCATTGCAGTGCATTCGCATTGCCATTAGCATTAGCATAGCATAGCATAGCACAGTACAGCATAGCACAACACCTCCTAACAAAGCGCAGCATAGCATTAGCGTAGCACATCATAACACATCATACCATACCATAATGGATAGCATTGCAGCTGAATCAAACCCTTAACAATGCAGCAACACAACATGGGATAGCATACCAAAGCATAGATACGGTATCGAATACATAGCATAGCATGCACAGCATTGCACAGCCATCCTCCTCTCGTCGTCCTCCTCCTCCTCGCTCAATCTGTTCCTTACCATCACGCTGATCAGTTTATCGGCCATCCAGTTGACCATCCTCCCGCTCCATCCTCATCCATCCTCATCCTCATCGTCCCTTCCTCCTCCTCCTCCTCCTCCTCCATCCTGTCCCTCCTTCCCCCCCCCTCCTCCTCCTCCCTCATCCTCGTTGTGTTTTCATCTCGTCACCCCCAAAGCCTTGACGTAGTCCTCGGGGGCGAGACTCACCAGCTGGGCAACCTTTTCCCAGTAGTCATTCAGCAGCGGCTTCGAGAGGTCGAGGGTCTTGAACTCACTGAGGGTCTGCATGGCCTGCTGGAGCAACATCTCGTGCTCGAAGACCGCACCAACCTCGATCGCCGTCTGCTCGTGTGTCTTGAGCTCTGCCTCCCTGCCAGGGAAGCACGCCTTCATGGTCAGAACTGCCCTCAGGATGGCGTCGGCCATCGCCTTCTGCTTCGCGGGGGCTTCTCCAGCCTTAGAAATCAACTTATGCATATCTCCGAAATTGAATGCCGCAACCAACCAATCCTCGATGGACGACGCGTATGGGAGCCACACGCTGGTATCAAGGTCGTTCTTCATATCCTCCAGCTCCTTCAACACCTCATAGGGGTCGCTAGTAGTGTTGGCCTCGCCTTTGACGATCTCTTTCGTGCGGAGGTGAATGGCGTCGCCCCACTTCTCGAGGCCGTCCATGTTGTCCACGAACTTCTTGTACTGGGACTGGTACCAAACGTTGCTCTGCAAAGCGTTGTAGACGAGTCCGGACATGCTGTGCTCGCCTCCTTTCTTCTTGGCGTTCTCCACCAGACGGGAAACATATGTCTTGCCAACGACCTGGATGTGGTCTATGATGCAGCACATCGCCTTCATGATCGTGAGGCACGTGCTGAACACCTCGTCGACCTCGGGGCTGATGGTAATCTCGGAATCGTCTATCTTGCCATCGAGCCACTTGATGGCGAACAGGGCAAACCTCTGTGCAACATCCTTCTTCTCTTCGCCCGCTTCGATGAGCTGGAGGAGGTAGCGAAGAACCAGCTTGTCGGCAAACATCTTCGCCTTATCCTCTTGGCTCATGGCGATGCCGCTGAGAGACGGCACCTCGGGGTTGAAGGTAGTCTCAATGTCCGTACCGCTCAGCGGGTTCATCATGTTAAAGAACTGCTCAATATTCACGTCTGGGTGCGCCAGGATGTCGGTCACAGATCGTTCGAGAATGCTTCTCTGCAACTGCTCTGGGAGTTCCACGTCGCGCAGCTTCTTGATGCAACTGTCCAGCTCCTTGCGAGAGACGGTCGGATCTGCATTTCCTTCAACTTCACGACCGCCTGGTACTGGTCCTCATGGTCAGTCCAGATCTTCAACTCGACGGTGGCGCCCATGGCCTTGAGCTTCTGCTTGAGCACGTCGGCCCCGCCCATCGAGCGCCCAGTGCTGATTTGCAGGCATTCGCTGATGCTAGTCTTGGCCATCTTGGCATTCACAAGCAACATCGCCTCGGATTGCACTGGAGAAGGCGACGGATCAACAACACTGCCAGCGTGGGACGCAGCGTCCTGCCTCGGAGGCGTGAACGCTGTGACTGCCTCGCGGACGGTGGAGGCTGGGCGCTTGCCTCTCCCTCCGCCCTTAGCAGTCTTAGCAGCTCTCTTTGGTGCTGCGCTCGAGGCTGTCGCCAGCAGCGGCACAGCTGTCCGCTGGCATCCATCGAGAGACTTCTCACCATCGCCTACCTCAGCAGCTTCATCCTGGGACTCGTCCTCTGGAGCCTTCAGCTTCGCCTTCTCCTGGATCTCGCTCACGCTGGACGCGTTGTTGTAGGGGGTGACGTCCATGAACTCGTCCAGCTTGACCTTAGCGAAGATGGTCTGCGCCTGCGATGCGTGCAACTGGTTGTTCGCCATCTGCTTGTACTGCTGCCAATGCTTGTACGTCGTCGTGAAGAGCTCGTAGATAACGTCGGCACCGGCCTCATCCTCCACGACCACGCCCTTGTACTTCCCTCCCTTGCCGTCGTCGAGGTCCCTGATCACCTTCCCGCACTGCTGGGGTGTCTTGTTGAATACCTCCTTGAAGCGTTTGACCGTGAGACCCCTGACCCGATTGATGACCCTAACGCCTGAGACGACGTCGAGGGACACTTCCTCCTGAAAGAAATTATTCTCCTCGAGGCCCAGCTTCACGCGCAAGGCGGCCTCGACCTGCTTGTTGAACTCTGGATCGCTCTTGATCGCCTCCTTGAACTCGGCCAGCGCCATCCAGCCGAAGCCGAGGGCGTGCACGTTGAGGTGATTATGGCACAGCTCGGTGTTGCCTGCAGTAGCCTTGCCACAACTCCCATTGTTGGCCATGCAGGTGATTGGCCGCTCCACAGCAGCTGCAACTCCTCTGCCCCTGCCCTTCTTCGCGGGACGAACGCTGTCGGGCTCGCCCCCGCCTGCGGTGCTCTTCCTGGACGACATGGGCCAGGGTCTCGCCCTGCAGCTGGTGTGCACTGGCGACCTGGGAGAAATGAGGACTCAGCCAAAACAGCTGCAGCAGATATGGCTCTGGAACCCCGAACGTCGCAGACGATGCCTTCAGGAAATCAGGAGCAACCTTCAAACCAGCGCCCCAGGTAACCACATCTGATCCAACAAGGTCCGCGCTCTCGAGCCGGACGTTCGGGAAGAGAACGCACCAGGGGCACAAGCTGGAAGGGCATTCTCTCATCGGCATTTGCCGTTCAACATCGAAATATGTCATGTCGGAAATCTTACTGTAGGTACATTCCTGTGTTCTGGTGTGTTTATTGTTGTTGCTTGCTGTCGTCGTCGTCGTGCTCGTCGTCGTCGTACTCGTCGTCGTCGTCGTCGTCGTCGTCATCGGCGTCGTCGAAGTTCCTCGTAGTCGGCGTCGTCGGATGTCCTCGGCACCGCCCAAAGGGCTTTCGGTTGGGCTGCCTATGGGGCCACGAAATTTGTGAGAGGCGTGCCAGAACGCCTCCGCCCGTTCGTCTTTCAGACGGCCGAAGGCCGAGAGCTGTACGATTGCATTCCAGTAGGGGATCTCATCGTCGTCGCCGCCGCCGCCGCCGCCGACGACGACGACGAAGACGACGACGAACTTCGACGACGACGAACTTCGACGACGACGAACTACGACGATGACGAACTCGACGACGACGAACTTCGACGACGAGGAACTTCGACGGCTTCGACGACGACGACGACGACGACGACGAGGCCGACGACGACGACGACGACGACGACGACGACGGTGACGACGTCGACAGCGACGACGACGCCGAAACGACCGAACGCCGACGACGATGACGACGACGACGCAGACGACCCGACGACGACGACGACGACGACGACGACGACGACGACGACGACGACGACAACGCCGACGACGACGACGACGACGACACGACGACGACGACGACGACGATGGTGATGGTGATGGTGATGGTGATGGTGATGGTGATGGTGAGGATGGTGAGGATGGTGATGATGGTGGTGATGGAGGTGATGATGGTGATGATGCCGATCGTTGGGATAGCGTGGGAGGCCTCTCGGGGGCCTGTTGGGGGCAGTTTGCACGCCTCTTGGGGCCCGTCTGGGAGCCTCGTCTTGGGGGCCTCTTGGGGGCCTCTTGAGGGGCCTCTTGGGGCTTCGACGACGACGACGACGAAACACGTTTCAGCACACAGTAAAGTCAGTCCGAGCCGTGTGTGAACGCTGACGGCGGACGCTCGCAAAGTATGCGATGCAATGCTGAGTGAGGGGGTGTAGGAAGGTGGAATAGGCAAGTTGAGTAGGGAGGAGGAGGAGGAATAAGGAAGCGACTACTCCATGATCGAATTAAAATATTGCGCCGCCTGGCGCATCATCAGTATAACGATTGCCCCCCTCAACGCCCCCTCGACCCTGCATTGCCGACGTTAGGAGTAGGCCGCATCAATCGATCGGCTGTTTACCCTAACGTGTGTGGGCAAGAGTCCTCAAGAAAGCACGACGCTAAGTCGCCCAACGATTCGCGCAAGGTGCAGTCCTCACGCCCGTCGAAGAGTTCAGGCTGGATGAAGGCTGGGTCGCCGAGCGAGTCAGGCTGGGTCATGATGGGCGCCCTGTGGGCGCTGCTGCTGCTAGAAGAGCCCGCCGCGACTTCTGCGCGACACTCTGGGAGCGCCGCTGCTGAACTCTCGAAGCGCCCATGCACCTCGTTATCCAAAACAACATCGAGATCTGGCTGGGATTCCTCGATAAGGGTGGGTGCTGAATCCGCAGCCTGGGGATGATGCAGGTGCTGCGTGACCTCTGCAAGCAAATGCGGCGGCGTGGCCGTGGCCTGCACAGGCAAAACAGGCGGCGGCTCCACACGCAAAGGCGGTGTAAACTGCTTGGGCCGCGGCGCCAGTGACGGCTGCTGTGCATCAGGGCGCAGGCGCTGGCTGAGGGACGGCTCGCCTAACTTCAGCGACGGATCTACAAACTGCGCGCCTAAGATCTCAACGTCACTGGATGCCTCTGCCTGGGCCTCGCCCTCTGCCTTGATTCTCTTCTTTGGCGGTGCCTGATCCTTGTCACCCTGGTGTTCTCGGGGATCGATCCGCTGCTGATCATCATTTGTCAGGGCACTCCTTGCCACAATCTCTAATTCAGCTGGTATGCGGACCCTCAAACGCCCCTCCAACTCCTTAGGCAAATTCGTCACGATGGCAGTGATCCTCAGAGTGTTCGCCCTGATTTTGTGGAGAGCTGCTGGGGGCGGCTCTGGCTCTGGCAATGCTCCATGCGGTGGCTGCGACATGGGTATGAGCACGTGTGTACTCAAAAGATATGGAATTGTAGACCGAGGCTCGCGGCTCTCGTTTAAAACACGGCTGCGGAACAACTGCAGTTAATCATCGGCGACGACGACTACGCTGGCAGGACGGGAGCCCAGTGCACCAGACGAAAAGACATATCCACAAGAAAGAACGACGCCCTCTGAACTCCACAGTGCCCTGGCTATAGCTATGGCCAAAACGCGCCCCTGGAAGTGCCACGTGTCAAGTGCGCGCCGCCCCGCACGATTTAATATTGATATGCGCGCGCCGTGTGTCATGCATTGCACCGCAGATGTTGCACCACGTAGATTGTACCATAGATCATAGATTGCACGGTATATTAACGGTGAGAGGTTGCTTAACATAGATGGCACCATATATATATTGCACCACATATATTGCAAGAAATCAGTGTTTGGAGTTTGGTAGCAGGTAGCAGTGAGAACGGCGACGGCGACGGCGACGACCACGACGGCGACGGCGACGGCGACGGCGACGGCGACGGCGACGGCGACGGCGACGGCGGCGACGGCGACGCGACGACGACAACGTCGAGGAGTTTTCTTACTGCAATGCAATTGCACAGCTCTCGGCGTTCGGCCGTCTGAAAGACAAACGGGCGGAGGCGTTTTGGCACACCCCTCACAAATTTCGCGGCACCATAGGCAGCCCAACAGAAAGCCGCAAGGGCGGTGCCCACATGCGCCATCGCCACCCATCCGGCACATCCCTCACACGTTTCGTTTCGCGGCCCCAATAGGGAAATCCACCGAAGGCCCCAAGGGCAGTGCCCGCATGTGTCCGCGCCGCCCAATCTGGTACACCCCCCACACGTTTCCGAAGGCCCCATTGGGAGCTCCACCGAAGGCCCCAGGGGCGGTGCCCACATGCGTCACCGCCACAAATCTCGGCACACCCCTCACACGCTCGTTGGCCCCATGGGGTGCTCCACCGAAGGCCTTGGTGGCGGTGCCCACATGGGCACCCGCCACCGTTGTCGGCATACCTCTCACACGTTTCGTGGTCCCCATGAGAGTGACACCGAAGGCCCCACTGGCGGTGCCCACATCCGTCCCCGCCACCCATCATCTGCACACCCTTTGCACGTTTCGTGGCTTAAGTACGAGCTCCAGCGACGGCCCCAATGGCAGTGCCCACATGCGCCCGCGCCACCCAATCTGGTACACCCCTCACACGCTTCGTGGCCCCATTGGGAGCTCCACCGCAGGCCCCAGGGACGGTGCCGACATGCGTCCACGCCACTCATAAAAACCGTATGTTACCTTCAGATTCCAATCGGTCACCATGAAGGGCAAACTTTAGTTTCCAAGCCAACATGGCAATCTCTCGGTTGTGGAAATGGCGCCAGGCCACTGTAACAACCCAGCGACATCGCATGTTAACTTCTGAACCCAATCGTTTACCATAAAGGGTTCATTTTAGTTTCCATGCCAACATGGCGGCTCTCGGTTGTGGAAATGGCGCCAGGCCGTTGTGAACATTCAACGACATCGTGTGTTAACTTCAGAATGCGATCTGCCACAATTAAGGGTTAACTTAAGTTTCCAAGCCAGCATGGCGACTTCTCGGTTGTGGAGATGGCGCCAGGCCATTGTGAAAATGCAACGACATCGTACGTTAACTTCAGAACCCAATCGTTCACCATAAAGGTTTCATGTGTGTCCCCAGGCCAACGTGACGAATTCTCGGCTGTGGAATCGGTGCGAGGCCATGGTGTATATCAAATGAACTTGTAGGTCCACGTCAGAACCCAATCGGTCACCATTAAGGCTTCAATTTAGGTCCCAGGCCAGAATGGCGACTTCACGGCTGTGGGAAATGGCGCCAGGTCATTGGGAACATCAAGTGAAATCGTATGTTATTTTGAGAATCCAATCGGTCACCATCAAGGGTTCACTTTAGTTCCCAGGCCAACATGGCGACTTCTCGGTTGTGGAACTGGCGCCAGGACATTTCGAAAACCATCGGAATTCGTATGTGAACTTCAGAACCCACTCGGTCACCATTAAATAATCATTGTAATTCCCATGCAAACATGGCGAGTTCTTGGTTGTGGAAATGGCGCCAGGCAAATGTGAAAACCCAACGCTAGCGTATGCCAACTTCAGAATCCAGTCGGCCACCATTAAGGGTTCACTTTAGTTTCCAGGCCATCCTGACGAATTCACGGTTGTGGAAATGGCGCCAGGCCATTGTGCAAATCCAATGACATCGCATGCTAACTTAAAAGACCCCATTGGTCACCATTAAGTGACCATTGTATTTTCCAGGCGCTCATGGCGAGTTCTTGGTTGCGGGAGTGACGCCAGGCCATTGTGAAACCATGCGAAGTCGTACGTTAAATTCATAACCCAATCGGTCGCCATTAAGGGGTCACCTTAGTTCCCAGGCCAGCATGCCGACTTCTCGGTTGTGGAAATGGCACCAGGCCGTTGTGAAAACCCAATGCAATAATATGTCAGCTTCAGAACCCCATCGGTCACCATTCAGAGTTCACTTCGGTTCCCAGGCCAACACGGCGACTTCTCGGTTGTGGAAACGGTGCCAGGCCATTATGAACATTAAAGAAACCGTATGTTTACTTCAGAACCCAATCGGTCACCATGAAGGGCCCACTTTATTTCCCAA